ACAGCCGGGTGTGACAGCTGTAAGTGAAATACATATTCAGTGAGCAAAATGACTTCAAAGAATAAAGTTATTTAGCTTTGCTAACCAAAAATATTACATAAAATTACCCGTGCAATTTCTCCCGGCGCCTTCATATCCTCTCAGGCAGCGACAAACATATGATCCTTCAGTGTTGGTACACAATGCGTTTGGATCACATTCGTTTTGATCTTCATTGGCGCATTCGTCGTAATCTAAAGTTGGCGAAAAGATGTTTGCTTTGAATATACATGTAAACGCATCAGTGCGAATATAAGCAGGAAAAATGGGCGACTTTCTTAATAAAGGGAGTTTTCCAACAGTTTTACTATACCTGTACAATTCCTTCCATTGCCACTGTAGCCTCTTAGACAACGGCATACATAGGAGCCTTCAGTGTTGGTACACAAGGCGTTCGGATGACAACTGTTTGCTCCAGGACTTTCACATTCATCGACATCTATGACAAACAAGCATTTCAGTCGACCATACGACAAGACTTGGGTCTCTGGCATTTTAATGGTTACTACAGTTGAAGTGGTTTTTAATTGGGTGTCGTAAAACCAGAACCAAACCAACCGCTTACTAACCTACAGTAAACTACTCAACCAATCTCCAGTCGAACTGTTATAAAACCAAAACCAAAGTAATTGCCCGATTACTTTCGACACTCAACTGAATCCCCCTCTAAACATAGCAAATGAAGACAGACAAGAACGCTAAATCAATGTTTGTACACAATATCACAAAAAAGACGGAAAAGAAACGCTAACATCTCAATGATTTGCAACGTATACTGTTTCCAACTCAATTTAATTTTTTTCATAAGTTGCGTACAGCATATTTTCATTAAGGCTTTAGCCACGGCCACGATGACTTACTAAAACTGACAAAGATAGCGTACACAATGTAGGCAAAATTTGTTTCAGTATAATGAAAGATACCTTCTTCTCAGTATATAAACTCATAAAAAAGACAAACATGCAAAATGTTACACAAAAAGGGATATCTCTCTAACCTGCACAGTTGTATCCGTCACCTTGGTAACCAGCATTNATGTAAACGCATCAGTGCGAATATAAGCAGGAAAAATGGGCGACTTCCTTAGTAAAGGGAGTTTTCCAACAGTTTTACCTGTACAATTCCTTCCATTGCCATTGTAGCCTCTTAGACAACGGCATACATAAGAGCCTTCCGTGTTGGTACACAAGGCGTTCGGATGACAACTGTTTGCTTCAGGACTTTCACACTCATCGACATCTATGACAAACAAACATTTCAGTCGACCATATGACAAGACTTGGGTCTCTAGCATTTACCACAGTTGAAGTGGTTTTTAATTGGGTGTCGTAAAACCAAAACCAAACCAACTGATTTCTAACCTACAGTAGACTACTCAGCCAATCTTCAGTTAACCGTTATAAAACCAAAGCCAAAGTAATTGCCCGATTACTTTCGACACTCAATTGAATCCCCCTCTTAACATAGCAAATGAAGACAGGTAAGAACGCTAAATCAATGTTTGTACACAAAATCACAGAAAAGACAGAGAAGAAACGCTAATATCTCAATGATTTGCAACGTACTGTTTCCGGCTCAATTTAATTTTTTTTCTTCAGTTGCGTACAGCATATTTTCATTAAGATTTTAGCCACGGCCTCGATGGCTAACTAAAACTGACAAAGATAGCGTACACAATGCACGCAAAATTTGTTTCAGTATAATGAAAGACACCTTCCTCTCAGTAGATAAACTCATAAAAGAGACGAACATGCAAAATGTTGCATAAAAAGGGATATCTTCAGTTCTAACCTGCACAGTTGTATCCGTCACCTTGGTAACCAGCATTACAATCACAAACGAAAAGTCCACCACTCTCTTGACAAAACGAGTTTGGACCACAAGATGGTGAACAGCCGGGGATGAGGGCTGAAAATAGAAAAAAAAAAGTTTGCTAAGTGCTATAAAGATAAAGCAGTGTTCAAAAACATGGTAAAGAAAAAAGAAAAGAAAAACACCTGTGCAATTTCTTCCGTCACCCTCATATC